AAACAATTTTGCAAAGCCACGTCCCCTGCTTATATGTCTGTGGCAGGTGTTTGCAGGTTAGATACGGGGCTGCCGGGCCATGAGCCGGGGCTGTGCTTCTGGTGGCAGGACAGTGACCGTGGCAGGATGGGGCAGCTGTGTGCAGGGTCCTGATGGGTTTGTGTCCCCTGCAGGCTCTCTGAGCCGGACCCCAGCCATACCCTGGAAGAGAGAGTGGTACACTGGTACTTCAAACTCCTCGACAGAAACTCCAGTGGGGACATTGGCAAGAAGGAAATCAAACCGTTCAAGAGATTCCTTCGGAAAAAATCCAAGCCCAAGAAGTGCGTGAAGAAGTTTGTGGAGTACTGTGACGCGAACAACGACAACGCCCTCTCTGTGCGGGAGCTGATGGGCTGCCTGGGTGTGGCTGGAGAGGACAGCAGCGCTGGCCCGGGGAGGCGCCACAGTAAGCCTTCCCATCCGAGCGTTCCGCGGGGTCTGACCCGCAGGCCACGCGGCTAGGGCTCACGTCCGAGGCTGTGCCCCAGGTCTGAGGGTTGGGGCAAAGGAGGCATGGCGTCCGCCTGAGAGCTGGCTGCAGACGCAGCACTAGACGGCCCTGATTCCTCACCTCCGCGCCGTGCAGAAGGCCTAGTGACAGGGCTTTCTGCATCTGCGCCTCCTCCCCTTCTCCTGGCTGACGTCCTGCACGGCTTCTGCCCCCCATAGGGCATAACTGCCGCCCATGCGTGGACTCCAAACGGACTGGCCAGCTGGCCACGGGTAACCGAGAGCAAGAGTAGGTCGGGATGGGGGCGGCAGGCCACGTCCCTGCTTGCCCCAGCCTGAGGCCTGCAGGGGACCAGGGACAGCTGCCTGCAGAGGTGGGGCGTGCCGTCCTGGGGCAGGGCCGGGGCTGTAACTGCTGCCGTTCCTTAGAAACGCTAGGTCACTCGGAAACTGAGGCCTCCTCGTAGGGCCCTCTGAACAAGGGGCCCGTCTGAGTCTTGCTGTCTCCTTAGCAGCTAGGAGGGAAGCACACGCTACCCTCCCCACTTGAAATTGCACATCGGCCACTGAGGCACGTGCTTAGTCCATCTGGCAACTGCTCATTTTCCTTACAGAATTTGTAAGATTTTTCTTATTTTTAAAAATGATTACTATCATTTTTCCCTAGTCTGTGCAGTTTAAATAGTGAAAAGCCAGAGCAACCTCCATACTCAGGAGGTAGCTGCTCTGAGCACCCAGCTTCCGCTAGTGCGTCTGCCCGCTCTGCTTTCGCTCAGTGCTCAGCAGTGCCTTTCACTCTGAAGATGACGGCAAATGAAATAAAGAACATACGTAGCCCTGTCCTCAAGGACACTCAGATCCAGATACGAGCCTCCTTTAGCCTCCGTGCATGTGTCTGTGGGGTACACGTTCTGATTTTCTCAAAGCTTTGCATCACAATATACATGCTTTCTACATTAAGCACTTGTTTGAAGCTGCTGCAAGAATTTGCACTTAAATTATTGTTACTGAGACATATTGGCAAGTTTATTAAACTTATTGGAATAATTCAGAAAAAATAATTCATAAAACACTACAGCATGCCTTCATAATTCTCCAAAATGACCACCACACAGAAACTTGGCAATTAGGAAACGAGTCATTTTTGACAAAATTACACTTTTTTCTTTTTAAAGTTTCTGCCATAGGATATTGCACTCACCTGTGGGAGACAGAAGAGGGAAATGAGAAATCATTCCCGGGGGCTGGCCGTGCCACCATCCCTTCTCCTCTGCTCTCCTTTTGGGATTTTGGGCACGTGTGCACACGTGCCCAGTGTGATTTGTAAGCGGCCAACACCGGCCAGGTGGAGCGTGGCGCCTGGACCACCACGCCAGCTGCTGGCCACAGACACCCTTGTCACGCCAGCTCGTGTCTCCCAGCAAGGTCGTGCCACGTCGCCCAGAGACAATCATGTCTTTCATTTTTGTTTTTGCATTTTTTTCTTTTTCACTTCATTTTATAATTTACTTAATTTCTTTTCTATTATTATTTTTATATTTGATCACTGCGTATCATTACAGCATACCAAAGGAATTTTCCTGTCATGGTCAAAGACATTACCAAACACGTGATTGTCAACAGGGTTCTTCCCACTCCAGGCCCTCTCTCCCTGCCCCACTGTCTCCAGCACTGTCACCATCGTCCTTGCGTTTACGCTCCCAGTCTGCGGCTCCTGCTGTATGACAGAGAGGCACCGTCTGTCCCCTTCGTATTACGACTCGCAGACGCGTCACAGCCCGCCAGCCCCAGAGCTGTGCCTTGGGCGGAGTGAGACGGAGGCGCCCCCCGCACCGACCTGCGGTCTGCTGTCCCCGGGGAGGCGGTCACCAGCGCCACCCGGCCCTGCTGCCCCTGCGGCCTCGCTCCTGTTAGGTGTCACCCGGAGGTCTCGGTTTGCGTTTGTGTCCATATTTGTGAACTTGAGACCATGCTGACGAGTGAGCTTCATCTTCCTCACGTCTTTGTGCAAATATTTTTTTTCCCTTACTCTTCCTTTTTAAAGAGATTTTTGCTATAGGGCACATGAGCTCGCTGGAAAGACAGAGAGGGACAGAAAGAAATGAGTCACTCCCAGAGGTAATGGCCACACCACAGTCCGTCCTCCTCTCGGGATTCTGGCACACACACATGGCCAGCATGAGTTTAAGCTGCCGGGTCTGGCACTGGGATTGCAGTGGACTACGTGGGAGTCCAGTGACATGCCATTCCCCACCTGCCGGCCCCACCTCCTTCTCCCACACTGCAACTGACCTTCAACTTACAGCTGCATCTACCCGCTGGGCATTAACAGCAACCAGAAAATAGCAGCGGACCCGCAACTGCCAAATTGGCTTCAAACGGATTGAAACTCTAATAGGCCAAAAGGCCTGTTTTGTTTTCTTCCTCTTTCTCTAAAGAGTAGCATTTTAGGCAGACAAAAGTGGAAGCAGCAGGGACTACCCTGGTGGCCACACCGCGGAGGCCCACAGTTGGGAGAACAAGATGCGGCCCTGGCCGGCCAGCGACACACTGGCCATGTCCGCGTCCCCATGCATTTCCCCCCGCCCCACCATGGCTAGAGACCATGAGTGAGAGTGAGGGCACTGGGGACAGTGAGGGCACGGGGGACAGTGAGGGCACGGGGGACAGTGAGGGCACGGGGGGGAC